GATGATCTCTTTGTTGGTCAACTTTGTGGCACACCCAGGATGACAGTCAGTCCTCAATCTGAAATGTCCACCCATAGAAGACTGTGTTGACTTCCATTTGATAACTTATGACAGTTTTCATTACATCCTGTTTTCATGTTTTTCCTTTTTTTGGCAGAACAGGGAAAATAGGAAGTTTCCATTCCCAAGTGATGTTGGAACACAACATTTTAATCGAAGCTTGAATATCACGGGACCGCGCCAGTGAGGCTGAAATATCCTGAAGTGCGTGAAGGTGTGAAGAAATTCTCTGATTGGCCAACGATTCCTCAATTGTACGTGTCCTCCCCCCAGACATTGATGCATCATGATTTGTGATGATGTTGGAGCTTTGTTTATGTCAAGTGAAGTATATAAATGCTTAAAAAGACTTGGCCATGAGCCACTGGGAACTGTGCACAGGATGCCTGTGCTTTGCCCTTGCACTCCCTGTCAAATTGGAGTGGAAGATCCAACCTTGAGCTGCGTTTGCTATATTCTCACCTCGGCTATCTTCAGCTCATGGAAATTGGTTGAAGGATGTTGAAGGGAGTAGTCAAGCCACAAGAACAATAGCTCAAGGCTTCCAGCCTGGGTTTTCCATGGTTTTCCTGGCATTTTGTCCGTCGGTTCCACCTCAACTATCGCACAAAACGCCCAGGAAAGCAGAGTTCGTGGGTGGTTGTGACATCGCCTGGGCCTCGATCCTCAACTGATCCTTGGGTTTTTTGAGTGGTTGCAGTTGAAGCTGTTGGGACTTAGGTGATGCAGATGCACAAAGATGGTGAGTTGAAAGAAATCCTGCCAAAACCCAAGACCAGTGAGTAATCGAACCATGTCGAACCCGTGGCCGGGTGCCAATGCATGGGTTGTCATGGTCGTGCGTCTTCTCGAAATTCGAACCGTGAACGGTTGCTTTGTTAATGGGGCCTTTGCAACACAGTTGAACCATGCAGAACCAATTCCGTTCGATACACTTGCGTACACTTGTACATCTACAGTTGCATACATGTTATCATGTCATATCATTTCAATATATTTCAATATATTCATATTACATTATCATCAGCACAGAATTGTGTGATTATATATATATATATGGGGATGGGTCAAAACCTTGTACCCCTGGTGAACATCAAAATAGCTGGTAAATGGATGTTCATTCCCCTAAAAATGTATTTGTAGGTATTGACCCATACCCATATATACGTGTGTGTGTGTGTGTACGTGTGTATACTGGAAATGCCAGGGCCCGCGATTCATAGGCCGCGCGCCCTCGCTGGCGGGTCACCGTGTGCCAAGTCGCTGAGGGCCAACTGGTGCAATTCCACATATTTCAGAGGCAATTCCTATAAAGAAAGGAACCATTTTGCAACGACTTGTGCCCAGTGAATCATGCCATTTTGTAAAAGGCCTATTTTTGGTTGGGCGAAGCATTTTGTAAGAGCCAAATTTGGCCCAAATGTTAAAACGACGTCGGGGCCAGTCATTTCATAACACTGTTTGGGGCTCATTTCAGGCAGTGTAAAGGATGGTATTGAAATCTCGAAAATGACCAGGTGACCAGGAACTATGTTTTTTGTTGAATTGGAAAAAAATTGAGGCGCGTGCATGCTCATGTTTGGCTGAGGGTTTGAAACTAGTTTTCTTAATGGTTTGGGGCTATGCTACACAATGGATTGGTTGAAAAAGTGTATTTAGACGTATTTACTGTATAGATGTATTTATTCCTTTCATCTTGTTCCAAAAAAATACGGATACTGTTTCGGGACTGTGAAAAGGGATTGCATTGTTTCGCGGGGAAGTGGGATCGGTACAAGTTAGACATCCGACATATTTCCAGGTCAACCAATTTATATATGACAAAAGTCTATAAAAATGACTTGGCTTGGGACCCGGGATTTGAGGTTGGGGCAAGCATTTTGTAAGGCACTTTTTTTTGGTTCACCGGTGTTTCCTGGGGAATCAAACCAAGCTTCCACCACCACCAATTTTATAAACTTGAAGCCATGACCTGGGTCCTATACAAATGGTTGCCCTGACGTCAGAGGTTGTAGGGTACTAGTTACATATATATATATATAACATATAATGCAATATATTGCATAATATATATATATAATATATCCCACATAACATATCATCAACGTATGTAAAAATGGGTAGATCCCAAAACACCCCCGAAGTATGTATCCAAAATGGATTTCCTGCAGCCAAGCACAGGAAAAGGAGTTCATGAGCCTGTTAGGCGTTTGCAGAAACCGGGGCCCAAAATCAAAGTCAGCCCCCGCAGGGGAGACACCTAAGAGTAAAAATGGCTGGAACTAAAAACGTCTAAAGATTCTGAAGTAGATTTGAGCGGTTTATCATGGTTTACCCTCACAACTAAGTCACAGCCATTTGGCGCGCAATCCCAACATTCCCACCTTTCAACGTTCGGCTTCGGACACGCACCAGTTGTGCCGCGCATGTCCGTGTGGCAGAGTTGAGGGCAGAATGTGTCTCGTTCCGGACAGACTCGGCAACAGCCAAATTGAAAGATAAAAAGCGATTGGAATGCTTGGACTTGGGAGCATCGTTTGGCCGTTTGGCATCTGGAAAAAAAAATCTGCTAGCCCCCCCAGGTCCAACCTACCAAGACATCAAAGGCATGGTCCGGCCGCTGGAATGACGTGGCTATCAGTGGCTATGGGCTATTGAAACCAGGGCAAAACCGCAAACGCGTCGCACGCATCACACACACATCACACATCTCAGATCTACTGTGTGACTACTGTAAACCTAATGCAAACATATGCGACATAGATAAACAAATAAATATAATATATATATAATATTATATATATTTGTTTATTTAGATATTCTAAACATGTTTGTGCATGTGAGTATGTCATCTTTCGGAAGAACCACGCCCACGGTCGCCTTGCCACGGTTGTGTCAGACATGGAGCTGCTCCGCTTGTGCCTTGCTGAGTCCCTCAGAATGTGCCCCAGGGTGCAGGATTGTGAGCTTTCAAATAACACGAGATTCGCGAGATTTCTATGATTCTGTATGTACAGTTCTTTTCTCCAAATGTAATTGGTTGTAGCTGCTGGCCATACCTTTGCCCCAAGTACTGCATAACCAGTCACCAGAGATCAACGAGCCATGAAATTCATGTTCTGCAGCTTGCCAGATCTTTGAAACAACTCAGCACCAGTCATCAAGCATCATCAAGCATGCCCCCGTTGCTGAGGATTGTGGATGGGAGAAGATGATTGAAACATCATTTTTCCATCCCGAAGCCTGTGGGAATTTCCAACCAGGTATCCAGAACCGCCTCTTCTGATTCGACGGGCTTTGGATGAGGACACCTTGCCAGTCGGGGAAGCTCAGGAGCTCCGACAAAACCAGGTGCCACATCCACATGGAACTTTTCTGGGTAGCATGTCGTAGCAAATCTGTTTGCAATTCGGTAAAATGGAGCGTGTTAACCAAAAATGCCAGCCACTTCAAGCTTTTATGAAATGGTAGGTGCCCGTACTAAGGCACCAATCAATTGAGATTATTTTAGAACGATGGTGATGTGAATTTTGACCTACTAAACGCTATACCAGTGGACTGTGAGGACAAATCTGAATTCTCAAATTCACTCGAGCTCATGATTTCCCACGAAGAATTTGTGCGGATTTGGCGGGTTCCAGGGGACCAGGGGGCCCAGGTGATTACCACAAAAGATTGCCGATTTGATTTAACTGGCACTGGTCTACTCATCAAATGGGTGATAGTTGACCTCTGCAACCTGTCACACATTGATAGCCGTTTGATGCCGTTTGTTTTTTTTCGAAGGTCTTTAGTGCTGCGATCAAACACGAGGCCGGAGCAACAGGAACAGAGACAAAGGTGCTGAGAGGGATGGACTTCTTCGTATGGGGCTTGGGGTGGCTGTAGCGTAGCCCTAGGAAACTTTGGAGTCACTTCCAAGGCAGATCCACCAGCAGTTGGTAAGATCTTTCACTGCAATTAACACATGTTGACGAGCTCCCCTCTTTTTTGATGTACTAGTAGTTGTGTTCTTGGTTGTCAGCACTCAAGCACTGTGCGTCATCTTTGGTATCGGCCATGGCCCTGGGTCTAGACCAAGGTATCTATTTACAACCTCCATAGGGATGAGAAGTGCCCACTGGCTTGTTGAAGATGGTCAAGCTGTTGCAAGGATGAACAGCTTCAAAAAACACACCACTCGCAATTGTTCTACTTCCTGTTTACATGGCCGGTGTGTTTGTGTATTTCTTGCGGTGCCTGAGTATGTCATCCAGCTTTCGCACGTTGAATTCTTTTAGATGATTTCAAGGATTAATGATTCAGTTTCTTCCAATTTGCATTCGTCTCCTATGTTTTGGTTTGGCTGACTGGGCCCTGGCATGCGACCACAGGTACTGGCCCAATCCCAACACCTACGACCCGGATCGCTTCAAGCGAAAGTCTCTCGTTGATTCGTCTCCTGCGGTGTAGCCGGTGGGTGAACACTTCTGGATTGACCTAACGGAACAGGAACAACACTTACCCCTAATGAGCGGTGCTGATTTCTGATTTCCATATTCTGAAAGCTGCAATCCAAATCATCCTTGAGCTTCTGCACAAGTGATTGCCAGGTTCCTGGGGATAATTATGGAGAATTACTTGTGGCGGGATTGAAATTGGCTTCAACGATCCCTTCGATTTTACAACTGCCGAGGTATACAAATCCCGACGTTCCAGGATGGGCTTGAAGCACAGCTGCGCAGAGGGACAAACAGTTAAACAATTGTTAAACATGTATACAATCCTGGCGATTCCCAGCAATTCCCTTGATTTTTTTTGTGGATAATGATAATCTGTACATAACCACTATACCAGCTAAATTTTTAGTAGTAGGGGAGCTGGAAACGAACAAGCAATCTATACGCATAAATCGGATAAACATGATATGATTGATTAATGGATGTACAATGTAGGGTGCCATGGTATTTGACAAATTCTCTGCACCTTGTCCAGCAGCATTGCGAAATGACCTTCCGGCCACCCCTTGGCGGAACATTTCTATGCAGAGCGAGACTTTGTTGACAGCATGGAACTATGGACAACTATGGTCTATTGATGTGCAACGCATATATATATATATATACACACATAAATTTACATATATACAATTATATATACAGTGCTCATATTAATATGGCTATGTATATATATATATACACATATAAATATTTTTGTGTGTGTGTGCACTGCACTTTTCTACTTTGCACTGCCCTTGGTGCGTGGCAGCAGAATTGGTTGCTGAGGCTGGATACGACCCAGATGGCTGGAAAAGCCAGCTCTACCCGAATGAGATCGCTCGGGATGCCCAGCATGGCCAGGGAAGTGACGGGCATTGAAGTCCAATAGTATCGCAGCTGCTAGATGTTTGTAATGTGATATACTACCCACCTAGATAATGCTGCATATGCATTGCATTTTGACTTCATGGATTTGATGTGCATTGATAAGTGATATACCATGATATACCCTGTAAACAACGTAGATCTTTGGATTTGTTTCAGCGTTCTGTCCCCAGTACTTTACAGCCTACATTAAGAGTCGCCAAGGGAGCCGGGAAGGATCCTGTGGTCGTTTGAGGCCAGTGACTATGCCTTTATTCCCTTCGGTGCTGGGCCCGGGAACCTGGAGAGATGGGTCAGGTTGGCCCCATCGCGAAGATTCTCTGACAGATGTTGACAGTTTCATCTGGTTTGTTTTACCTTGTTTTTTTTCATTGTTCTTTCTTCTACTTTGTCAATGTCAGATTGTGAGCATTTCTGGAATTCTGTACTGGCTCATTGCACTTAAGATCTCTGATGTATGTCTTTACTTCCGCTTGAATTGCACTTAATGCGGCTACTTCTTTCCATTTATCCTTTCTCCTGTTCATTTTATGCAACACTAGTTCTTCTTTTTTCTTTACTGTTTCACACATGGCTT